TTCACGTGTTTTAAAACTAACTCAATAAAGGTAGTAAGAACCTCAGACTAAAAGAAAGTGAAATACCTCCGTGTCAGATGTTTAAATTGACTTTATCTTTCTTATCAGTCCAGTAGTTATTAATATCTCTAGGGGAGAAGAATGTCCATTTCTGTTCCATCTCCGTACCCGTCAAAGTGCAGTGTTTTCTAAATCAGTATAGAGAAAGTGATATGGCATTCAGAATTTCTGTAGCCTTGGACTGCGGAGGCGGCTGAAGTCATTTCAGAGATGTCTTCTGGGAGAGGTCCCAGGCATCTTCTGTCCGGTTGCTGATACAGAGGCAGGCACTGTTACGATCTCCGCAGGGAGCTTTTTTGCCCTTCCATACAATGGAGAAAGTACCATGAGCACAGTGGTTGCTTGCTGAAAATAGATGAGCTGTTCCAGACAGTGAGCATCAATGCAGATATGGGGGCCTTGATCACACCAGTCAAACAACATTGGCACTTGCCAGAATCAAGTGACTTCTTCAGAGAAGAGGAAGTGAAGGAAGGGCAATGTTACTCTCCTCTTTGCCCCACAGAAATATTAAGAACAAAGCTTAATCTTTCCTCGTGATAGACTGGACTTTATGCACGCAGGTGGACTGGGTGGTTATGGATCAGGAGACAGTGAAGATGAGAGGAGTGACAGAGGCTCTGAATCATCTGATACTGATGATGAGGAATTACGACACAGAATCAGGCAAAAACAGGAAGCATTTTGGAGAAAAGAGAGAGAACAGCAACTACTACTAGAAAAACAGCTAGAAGGTAAATCATAAAATGTCGTCTTACTGTGCTGCTGTATATGGAGTTTACTACTTAGTGTATGTAAATTCGTGGGAGAGAATACGCATTTTAAGCCAAAAAGTATGAAGCTAAATTTAGAAATAATGTTCTTTAATTAAAAAGTTTTAACACAAAGATGTTTGAGCTACTTGATCAAAATGGGGTTTGCTTTTCTTTGTAATAAGAAAAAAATCAATTTGGTGTCTCTCAAACTATTCTACTTCAGTGTTAAAAGAGCAGACGTCATGCATATCTATCTATATGCTGTAGATACTGTACTATATAAATAATAGTGCTGCTTCATATACATAATAAATATAAATACATATTTTAATATATTTTAAATATATATAAATATAAAAATGCATGTGTATGGATAATGTATTTTTAAAAAATTATTAGTATCTCAGTTGTCACTGGGGGATAAATTTCACCTTTCTGCACCAGACTGCAGTTTATATAAACTTGATTCCTTAAAGTTGTATACTCTTAAGTGTATGACGCACATTTCATGTCATCTGAAAAATTTGCTTTTCTGTTACATAACCTTGAGCAGCGCGCGTTTCAGAATGTGCAGTGGGAGGCTGCAGTTTCTTTGAACTTGCTGTTCTCAGGTGTAGTTGATGTTTGTTTCCATATGCTGAATCTTCACAACCATGGTTTTATACCTAATACCGGGGAAAGATTTTTGAACCCAGTCAGTTCACACTTAGCCTCTGAGAAGGTGGCAGGCTTGATTTTAAAACGGTAAAAATAAATGTGTGATTTACTCATGCTTCGCCGTACAAGGTAAGGTTTGTCCTTCTGTACCAATAATGTAGGTCAGAAAGGTATCACAGTCACCTTTCACTGCTGAGGAGCAGTGTAGATCAACAGATGAATACAGTGGTAAGAAGTCGTGACCTAAGTTCCGAAGCTGGAGGAGAAAGAAAGTGCTATTATGATAGCATATTTTTGTCTTGTTTAAAGGTGGATGATTTCCTCCTTTTTATTTTAAAGGCCTGGAAATAAGACATACGGATCCCTTAGGAAAAGGCTGAACTACCTGAACTTTTGGTTTCCTTAATATTCTTGTGTCTCTCAGAGTGTTTTAAGATTTATGTATAAAAGGATAGTGGCAGAGTGGTGTCTATGACCTCTGTGTTAGTGCAGGAAGCCAGATGCCAGTTTGGGGACATCTCCATGGGGTTATTTGCAGAAATACAAAGAAGCTGATTCTATATATCCAAAATAACAAAGAATACTAAACACAGGATCTTATTTGTAGTGAGGTTTAGGAAAGGCAGAAGATTTCTAATGTACAATACAGCATCTTCTATCATATGCTGGCTTCTGCCTGCATTACCCAATAAGTCAGGGACCAGATGGAATTGTTTTCTGGAATTGTTTTCTGGGTTAGATTTGACCATCAGTTGGTGTTTGGATCACTCTGCATTTCCAGATGCAGTTTTATTCCCTAAGCTATTTCAGGAACTGATGGCCCACATCAAAAGGCCATTTTTTTGGCTAAAAAATGTTGTATGTCAGTTATTTTTTCTCTGGGTTCAATTTAAAATGGGAAGGGGAGATAAACTTGGCCAGTGATGCAAAGGATCCTAGGTTGAGTAGGAATAAGGAAAACCTTTTTAAAGTTGGAAACTTCTGGAAAATGCTCGGAGGATCTGAATGTCTTTGTTTTGCTACATGAAAATCTTGGCCTGATACTCATTATGTTACTGTCAAGAAACGTATTTTTAATTCTTTTGTTGTTTTCTTACCATGTTTATAGTATTTGCTGACTACCAAGCTTGCATATAATCTCAACTGACATTAACTTCTTGCTTTGTAAGAGTTTCACCATCTAGCTGTTAAATGCTGTCATCTTAACTTTTGAGCTGAGTCTTAAAGAATTATCTACAAGTCTCCTTTTTAATGCTATTCCTCCCTTCCTTGGAATTCATTGGCTATCAAACCTGTTAAAAAGAAGGAAAAATGTAAATTGCTTGTACGATTTAGGACCAATCTAAGTTATCCCTGGAAAGTGCCATCAACCTGATATTTTCTTTCAAAAAATAAACATGCGTCACTACAGCAGAAGGTACTCCTCAAAGACTTTTTTGGGTGGCGAGGCCTACAAAGCATACAGGTATGGCTAACGTTGTTGTGAGGTTGAGAGGCCACCCATGCGCTGTGTGGGAAGTAGAACTTCTTCCGACCGGCCAGTGATGACTCAAACCCAGATGAACGGGGCTGGAAGGAAGGCAGGAAGCGTAGGTACTGCTAAAGGAGCGTTGTAGGAAGGAGATGGGGGGAATCAGGTGTGTCAGGAGGTTGCAGGAGGAAAAAGTATGTGTGTATAGATGAATTTGGGAATTCCAGGATATTCGTTTGAGAACTTCGTCTTAAACCACTGAAACATGAAATAACATCAAGGACTTCTAAAAGCGTCTGGGTCGTGCATTTTTGCTAAAGGAGGACAACTTTTCAAGAATTATAAAAACAAAAAAAAAAAGACAAGTTGTTTCGTAGGTAGTTGGTATGATGGCAGACAGTGTTATTAATTATTTATTAATATTAATTATATTAATTATAAGTCCTACGAAAGGTGCTTGGAAATTTGGTTTTGCCGAAAGTAACAGCATGGAAATTGTTGACTGACTACTCCAAATTAATTGCATTTTTCTTTTGTATACTTTTTTTTTTTTTTCCCAGAAGAAAAGCTACAAAATGAAAAAGTTTCAAAGGAGATGAATGAATTTATCAACAGAGAACAAAACAGTAACTCAGCATCACAGGAGGCAAAAGAAATTGAAGCAGATATGGTTCATGAAAAGAAAAGATCTCCAAATGCAATCGCACCTGATACAGAACTCAAAAAAGAGGGTAAAGAGAGGACAGGAAGGAGCGGGTCAAGAAGCTCTAGCAGTGGTAGCACTAGCAGCAATAGCAGAAGCAGTAGCAGTAGCAGCACCGTATCTAGTTCATCCTATAGCACTAGCTCAGGTAGTAGTCGCAGCTCTTCGCGTTCTTCCTCTCCTAAGAGGAAGAAGAGACACAGTCGCAGCAGGACGCCCTCACATAAGGTTAGGCGCAGCAGAAGCAGGAGTTACTCCCACCGAAACAGGAGAGAGAGGAGTAGGAGCAGGGAGAAAATAAGGGAGAGGAGAAGATCTAGTAGAAATCGCAGTGCTGAAAGAGGGGAGAGGCGAAGAAATCGGAGTCCTTCTCGAGAGAGAAGCTGGGATAGGCGCAGAAGCAGTAGCCGTTCAAGAGACAGGCGAGCTAACCGTGCGAGCCGCAGCAGAAGCAGGGATAGGCGTAAAACTGAAGACCAGCGTAGAAGCCCTACTGGAAATAGGCACAAACATAAAAGCGAGGGTAAAGATCAAGAAAGGAAGAAGGAGCAGGGAGGAGGTGTAGATAAAGACAGGAAAAAGAACAGAGAAAGGGACAGAGACCAGGAGAAAAGGAAAGATAAGCCCAAAAAAGAGGAAAAAGAAAGTAAGGCTGGCAATCATGACGACAGTAGATTAAAGAGAAAAAGAGACAGCGAAAGAACTTTCTCTCGCAGTGATTCAATATGTGTGAAAATAATAAGACAGGATTCCAGACAAGAAAGCAAAAAAATCACTACCAAAGATAGCAAAAAACGGTCAGGCTCCGAATCTAGTGCAAGGAGTAGTTCTGAATCACCCGGAAGCAGTAAAGAAAAGAAGGCTAAGAAATCGAAGCATATTCGGTCATGCTCCATGGAGAAATCTCAAAGGTCTGGTAAGAAGGCAAGCCGCAAACACAAGTCTAAGTCACGATCAAGGTAGTATACTTTTTAAGTATTTTGTCTGACTTTTTTTTTTTTATTATTTTTTGATACTCGTCTTCATGTGTACGGCATATGAACTTTTTTTTAATAAAGTATGGTATTTATTAAATTTTTTGTCTTAGGCAAAAGTAACTTTGGAAAGTATTTTAAAACTATTAATTACTAAGCCTAAAGTGTGTGTGGGTGTGGGGGCCTTTTATTTTTTCCAATTAACTTTTCCCCCCTTTTCCTTTATTTTTCAGATCAACAACTCCTCTTCGTCGTAAACGCTGAGGAATTTATGGCACCAGTGCTATGACGTTTAAAAATTCCATGAGTTATAAAAGGCTTGTCTCATTATAGAGGCACATTGTGGCTATGTAGGTGAAACCAGAATCCTTTTTTTATCTGTAAATAGGTGTATTTTTTCCAAATGCTGCTCAGAATTAAATACCTAATAGGATTTCTTTGTATTACATTTTTTTCAAGAACGGTAGTGCTTATTGAGAATATAAACCAGGCCATTCTCTTTCAGCTGTAATGTTCTTAAAATTACTATTGAATGTACTGTGATGTCAATAAAGCTCTTTAGTTCATTTTTTGTTTAAAGTTCTTGCACCTGAATTTTGTGTTAAATTGTAGAAAGTACTTTAAAAAAAAAGAAAAAGGCAGCTTTTTTTGGTATAACAAATTTTTAAAGTACTTGAAAAAGATTTTAACGTAAAACACTTGTCAAAATATGTAAACCATGGACACGATGAGATTCGTCCATTGGGGGGTGTGGAAGAACAAAGACAAGACATCTTACTTTTTCTTTAGATATGTGTAATAGATTTTAAATAACCTTTTTATTTGGACTAGCAAGTAATATATGCTGTGTGTGTAAAATGTGGGTCACTGTAATACAAGCTATACTTAAACAGACTGAACCCCATTAGGAATATGTGTGACCAAGCGATCTTGTGTGACAGTGTTAAGCTCTGGAACTATATTCCTCACCCAGTTTTCAGAGGGAACTTTCTGGATGTTCAGGGATATTACAGGAACAAGACTCAGTATTTTAGATGTTTTTATGGAATATATTTATAAATGGCACTCAGTACACGTTAGAAAACTGACAATAGGTTAACTTTACATTTTGGCACATGCATTAAGAGTGTAGTAAACATTAAAGCTGGTTATTTTTGTTAGTGTTACGAGAATTGTGATTCCTGTTAAGCTAATACATTGATTAGACAGCAATGTAACTAAATTCGTGGTTGTAATATCACCATAAAGTGAAAGAGGTCACTGGTTACCTCCTCCTTCAGGAGATGAGCTATTGCTGTTAGTGACAAGAGTGTCAAATAATACTGGTTAAAAAAAAAAGGCAAAACAACAAGACACAGCCCTAGGACAGCGACTTCCAGTAATTCAGGAAAAGATTGGAGATCTGTGCCTAGAAGGTCTGGTATGATACCAGTTGTGAAAAAGATAAAAGGCTTAACATCAAAGTAAGATCTCTTTGATGGCCGTAGCTTCTAAGAAAAAATACACTAGTACAGGCAACTTGCAAAGCATGTCTTCATGAACAGATTAATCCATTTAACTAAAATTAGAATTCAGCTATGCAGCATTTTTGCCAGTGTAATTCTTTTAATAAATTAGATGCAGAAGTAAACTGCTTCAGTGCAAAGAATCACAGTTTAACTCTACGTTTATTAAGCAAGCTAGTGGCTGGTGAATACATGCATGTTTACAAAAACACTGTTACAGACAAATAATTAGTCTGTTATAAATAGCATACGCCCCCAGTTAGCTCCTTTTACATAGAGTAAGCAGTCATACCTTTTGGCAGAATAAGGCATAATTTGCAACACACTACTTTTACTTGCATTGCTGTGGATGTAAATACTGACGACAGCTGGATCCAACCTCAGTACACTATTGGCTCTTGGTGAAAGTGAGGATTTTTTGAAAGGTAGCGTAACAGTTCAGATGTCTTAGAAGGGTGTCTGTTGAGAGAGAGAAAAAAATTAAATTTAAGAAAAGCTATTGAGGAATACAGTTTCCATGGTGCATTGAAATTGATTTTCAGTTCAGATTTTATATTCTCTGTCTAATAACAAAAAAGATTGTGTATGAAAAGCTTTATATACTCTGCCAACAACTGGAATTCTGTCACTTCCTGTAAATATGAAAATTATTTTTTAACACAAATGCACTTATATGGGTAGTGACTGTATGCCAATAAAAAGAGCATACGATCTCTGTATTTAACCGTTTCAGAAATCTTACTAAACAGCATACTCAGCACACCAGTAATTGAAAATACATCGGTACTGTGTCAGCTTCACATACGTTAGACTTCTTTGTGTTTTAGTAACTCCCTTACGAATGTTTTTCAATGGTAAAGGCTAAAATAACATCCAGTCTCTAATTCCGTACATCTGAAGTGATCTTAAATTAAAAAATATAAAAGTGGGAATGTATCATTTTGGAGAAATCAGAATTGGGTTCTTGCTCTATTCTTTTACATTTTTAAGTAAACACTGCAAGAGTATTTCAGTGCACTGCAGGAGAGCAAGGAATACAATTTTGAATGCAGCAACATGACAGCTGGAGGCAGCTCCCGTGAAAAATTTTTTTATTAAATAAGGGATGGTGTGGAATCAAGTGAAAAATGGTTTCTATGAAAACTGAAGATGAATACAACAAAACCAATGTCAGTATGTACCACAAGGTACCCGTTCTGCCGTCTAAGAACAGGAACCGGCTGTGGCAGGGGATAGGCCAAAAAAGAGTTGTTGGGTAAAATACCGTAAATTTAAAGGTTGAGCAACTACACACTTTTTGAAATATAGTATAATAACTGGTTTGGGAAAGAAAATCTGTGTCTTTAAGGCCCTGTCTTGTGGGAGAGGTTAAGAGTCTAGGCTGCTGCCTTTAACTGCTGCTATCTTAAAGTCTGTGTTTAATTACAGAAAAAATGGAATAGCTACCTCTAGTTTAAAACCAGCTTACCCTGTTAAGTAAAATACTTGCCAGCGTGCAGGTATTTAATTGCTTGTTACTCCATTTTTAAAAATCACAGATCTGAAAGCAATGGCAATGTAAAATTGGCTTGCCCTCTCCAGATTTTGCGTTTGCTTTGCTAAATAAATGAAAAGTAATTATTTGCATAAGTAATATGCAGAAGCACACTTTGAAGGAATGCTTAGTTTTGTGTCTTAAGGAGACCATGTGTCTTGCTGTAAGGGATTTCTTTGAGCTCTGTTTTTTGAGTAGCTCTGAGGTGTTATTAATGACTCCTAAGTCCACTGCACCATGAGCTTTGCTAGATGGAAAGTAGGTGAGTAGAGAAGCACTGCACGTGCACGCTAAGCAGGTTTGCCATATATTTAACTGCTGCCGAGACAAGCTTCTGTGAGACATTTCAGTAGTCCTTATTTAGCTCTTTTAAAAAAAAAGAAAATCCAAACTTTTAACTACTAAATGAATTATACTATATTTACAGGAGCCCTGTACATGGGCAGATTTCGAGCAGTGAGGGTTGTAGCGCTGAGCACGGTCAGTTCACAAAACAGGCTGGCATTAGGGCAGAGTGAGTCAAACCATGACTGGTTATGCTATTCCAAACCACCTCCTGCTGCCTGGAGGGTGCTCCTGCCCCTGCCTTTGTGCAGGCTGTGCCTCCCGCCTGCGGTGCCAGCGTCCGCACGGACAGGCAGGAACCCGGTCGCTGCCATCTCTGCCCGGAAGCACGGGAGCGCACTGCTTCCGTGACTTGCCCCTTGCCTTGCTCCACACCGCTCCCTTCCAGCCAGCTTTGGGTTTCGTGGGACTTTCTCGTGAGACCTGCCAAGGGGAAGAGGAGCTCCCTGTCTCTGTCAGCTCCAAACTGCCAGAGCTGCTCGTGGTGGCATGTGGATTCAAACCCCTCAGCTGAACCTCGAGTCAGGGCCCTGGGCAGCAGTGCCAAGGCAAGGGAGCGAGGAGGGCAGCCTTGTCCCTCCTGGGCCACAGCCTGGACTTTGCCTAAAAACTGTGACACGACAGCCTCTGCAACGGGCAGTAGCAAACCAGCCTGGATGGTCGGACCCCAGGAGGAAGCGCTCAGCACCTTGTCTCAAACCCAGCCATCTTGGGGGCCCAAGAGCTCTGCTCCGTGCCACATGTCTGCGGTGCAGGCTGTTGGGTATCGCTTCTCCCCCATGCCTCCCCTCTCCCAGAAGCGGGGAGCCTTGTACTGTGGGCCCTCCCCTGCAAGTCCAGTGTGTTACCTGTTAATAAAAGAGACGGAAAGCTGATAGCTCGTCCCTGTGTCATCTGAATGAGCCCCTGCTAAAGGAGTCTTTCCTTGTTCCAAGACACGCAAGGATCGGGACAACATGCAGGAGTACGGGGGTGTAAGTTTAAATAAAACCACGGTGTTAGTTTTCAGCAGAGCTTCCCAGGTGAAGCCACGGTGACGCGTGCCGTGACACAGCCCAGGGACAATGCAGGCTGGCATTCATATGGCCGGGCCTTGCAGGCAGAAGGGTGCCAAGGGGCTGCGTCTGCGGCGTTGCGGTGCACAGTGCACCGGGACACCGCAGGGCTCCACTGTTCTGAAGGGAAAGGTGAATACAGCGGTTCTTCTTGCTTGTGCCACATCTTCATAAGCTGGAATTTTTTATTTTAAAAACTAAGTCTGAGTAAGTGCTCGTAATGGTCTGCCCTGCGGTTTTTTTTTTTCTTTTCCCTTCGTTTTATAATATAAATATTCATAAAAATTTT